GGCGGCGACGGCGAGGCGGACGGAGGCGGCGGCGATGGTGAGGCGGAGGGAGGCGGCGGCGATGGTGAGGCGGAAGGAGGCGGCGGCGAGGGCGACGCGGAGGGCGGCGGCGGCGACGGCGAGGCGGAGGGAGGGGGCGGTGACGGTGAGGTGGACGGCGGCGGCGGCGAGGGTGAGGCGGACGGAGCCGGTGGTGACGGTGAGGCGGAGGGAGGCGGCGGCGAGGGCGACGCGGAGGGAGGCGGCGGCGACGGCGATGTCGAGGGAGGCGGCGGCGAGGGCGACACGGACGGAGGCGGCGGCGATGGCGAGGTGGAGGGAGGCGGTGGCGAGGGCGAGGCGGACGGCGGTGGCGGCGACGGCGATGCTGAGGGCGGCGGGGGCGACGGCGATGCCGAGGGAGGCGGCGGCGACGGCGAGGCGGACGGCGGCGGCGGCCACGGCGAGGCGGAGGGAGGCGGTGGCGAGGGCGAGGCGGAGGGAGGCGGCGGCGAGGGCGAGGCGGAGGGCGGCGGCGGCGACGGCGATGCCGAGGGAGGCGGCGGCGACGGTGAGGCGGACGGAGGCGGCGGCGAGGGCGAGGCGGACGGAGGCGGTGGTGACGGTGAGGTGGACGGCGGCGGCGGCGACGGCGATGCCGAGGGAGGCGGCGGCGAGGGCGACACGGACGGAGGCGGCGGCGATGGCGAGGTGGAGGGAGGCGGTGGCGAGGGCGAGGCGGACGGAAGTGGCGGCGACGGCGATGCTGAGGGCGGCGGGGGCGACGGCGATGCCGAGGGAGGCGGCGGCGACGGCGAGGTGGAGGGAGGCGGTGGCGAGGGCGAGGCGGACGGCGGTGGCGGCGATGGTGGTGGCGGCGATGGTGGTGGTGAGGGTGGCGGCGGAGATGGCGGTGGCGAGGGTGAGAGGGATTCGCAGATGTGGTACTTGGTCTGCTGGCCATTTTGGTTGCAGCTCGTCGGACCTGAGGGGCTATCGAAGAAGAGCATATCTGGACGCCCGGCGTAGATCATGTTCTCGCACACAACACAGGTGCGCGTGTAGGTTGACGTGGGATTGTGAATCACAGGCACCGCATGGCCTCCATTCCTGGCTGTCGTGAAGTCGTATCCGGCGCCTTCGGCCGCCGTGACACAGCCCGCCGCGTCCCCGGAGTAATCTTGAAACCCAGCAGTGGCGCAGGTAGAATCACCAGAGACCTTGTGGTATGTGACGGACTCGGGCGGAGCAGAGGGCGGCAGTGGGGGCGAGGGTGGCGGTGGCGAGGGTGGTGGTGAGGGTGGCGGCGGTGAGGGAGGTGGCGAGGGCGGCGGTGGAGACGGTGGCGGAGATGGAGGCGGCGGGCTAGGAGGTGGCGATGGCGGGGGCGGCAGCGGCGATGGTGGGCTGGGCGGCGGCGACGGCGGTGGCGGTGAGGGAGGTGGCAACGGCAGCGGTGGTGAGGGAGGCGGCGACGGTGGCGGAGGTGAGGGTGGCGGTAAAGGTGGTGGCGAGGGTGGTGGTGACGGTGGCGGCAAGGGCGGTGGCGATGGTGGTGGCGGCGAGGGTGGTGGCGAA